TTGCAGTCCACCATCTCAGGGACAGTACACTGGGGAAGTGCAGTAGAGGGAAAAGCATCTGGAGAGGGAGAAAAGATAATACTGGGGTTAGGCATTCTTCTCTTGGTTTAATCAGTGTAGATTAGGTGCATAAAGCAGCTCATTTGGAATGGTGTGATGCAGCCATTAAAAAAAACTCTGCAGCAATCAAAGAACTTTCTGAGGTGAACAGCAATTTTTGTTCTTGGCAGACAGGGCTCTTTTGGCAAAGACTGCTGAGAGCACCCTCCTCTTTTCTACATTCCATTAAGATAAAATAACTTTAAAATGCTTTTATTCAGGGGTATGGACTGTCAGGCCAGTTGACCACATCCTGCTCTCCTGGGGCCCCAGTTCACCTCCCCCAGGTCCCCACAGAGCCAAACTAGTTTCTCCCAGCCATTTTTTGGTGGTTTCCCAGCTTTTGTGCAGATTTTTCCTTATAGTAGCATATTAAAATACCCCTCCTGAAGTTCAATTGATGGGAGTAAGAGCTTAAAACTAAAATATGCTGGTATTTTGGGCCCTGCCCCTTTTGCCTTTGACCCTGCCCAGCATTCGAATGGGGCCCCTTGACTTGGGAGCTTCTTCAAAAACAAGTTTTCCCCCTCATCAATGTTATTCTCTTGATTTTAAGCATTGAACTGACAGTTATCAGTGCCCTCCGCTTTTTTTTTCACATTTCTGCAAGTCGGTGGCTACTGCAAAAAGGGAAGGTATTTGTTCTCTTCTCCTGCACTTTGCTTTTTTGCATGTCTTTTCAGAGCACTTACTGCTGTGGTTGCAATTACTGCTGAAAACTCTAAAAATTCCCAGAAATAGATGCAAATTTAGTAACAGGAAAGTAAATGGAGGGGAAATTTGTGCACCTACTGTAACAAAGCAGTTAATGCAGCTGCAAAATTTCCCCTCCATTGATTTCCCCTCCCCTCCATTTCCCCAAAATTTCCCCTCCAGTGCTTTGTTTTCATAGAATCATACAGTTGGAAGAGGCCTAGCAGGCCATCAGGTCCAACCGCCCGCTCAGTGCAGGACTCATGTCACGCATCCAGATTTCAATCTTGCCTAACCTGCTTAGGTTCCAAGATGAGGCAGCATCAAGCTCTTCAGGCTATGTGGAAGCTCAACAGTTTTAAAATGTACACTTCTGTTTTAATTGTCAGAAAAATGCAGGAGCTACTCAGAAAAGGAGTGCCCTTCTGGTTTAGTTTTTCTTTTGGCTCCCCACCCCATCCCATTTTCAGTTCTTTTGACTTATGCTACTAGGTGTCTCCTTTCTCTGGTCAGGGTATGTGTTCTTCAGGAAACTCACAAGCAGGAAAGCTAACCATAAGAAACCCTTATTCATGGCATTATGCATTCCTGCAAAAATCACCCAGTATTTGTACGTATCTATCTTTGAGTGGGAAAACATAATGTTTGAAATGTGGCTGACAACTTTTATGTTCTGCACACTTCCAGAACATACTTTCAGAAAGAGAAAATAATTTCAGTATATGGAGCTCAATAAGTATTATCTTGCCAAATGCAACATTTAATTTTATCCATCTAAGGGGGCAGGCGATTGTAACAAATTAATTGCAAGTAGAAATAGCTGTAAAAATGACAGGCATATAAATTATTTCTAATTCCATTCACTACATAATCTAAACCTTAAGCAATATTTTGGATCACAGCAAGACATCAGCCATTTATAGTTAATCCCTTTGGTTTTTATGCCAGAAGTTAATGGTACTAATGCTCAAAGACCACCAGGAGTTTTCAGCAGTGTACTTGAACTGATGTAGTAATATATAGCCGGGCCTGGGAATAGCATCTTAGATATTTAGTTTCAGTTCTAGGTAGAAAAAAATAGAACTAATTTATTTTTAGTTTATTTATTACATGTATACCCCACCTTTTTCCTCATGCAAGGAATCAAGGTGACTTACATAATCCTCACAACAGCCCTGTGAAGTAGGTTAGGCCAAGAGTCTCTGACTGGCTAGAATCCAGATCTCCTGAATCCCATTCTGGCACTCTAACCACTGCACCACACTGGCTCACAGTTATAAATTAATATTTTATCAATTATAAGTTGATATTTGAACATCAATTTATAAGTAGTTTTGTAATGGATTTAGATTATTATCAAGGTCTGATGCAGGAAAAGAGGGAAATTATTAGGATGCAACCTCCCAAAGCTAAGAATTAAAACTCTGCTATCCTGTTCAAACCCATAAAGCCCCCATGTCAGCATGTGTTTTAGTGGCTCTTCTGCCCTGCTGTTTTCCCCGGACAGCCTCCTCCAATCTGGTGCCCTCTAGATGATTTGGACTATAAACCCTGTCAGGCCTGACCGGCATGGACAGTGGTCAGGAAGGAAGGGAGTAGTAGTCCAGAACACATCAGATTGGACAAGGCTGTTTGATGGTGATGGATCTTATGGTATGATGTTCTGTTTATACTGTGTTCAGTCATGGGATCCTATGGGTGAAGGATGGACTGTGAGTTTTGCTGCTGCTTGACTCTTTCTGGGGCCTTTGCAGATGATTTTTAATTCCTCATGCAAATAGCTGCAGTGGTTTTGCCAGAGAAGCCTTCCCTTACCATTCTGCATGCGGAGTTGGTTGGCTATATTCACCTTGAAATTTCTCCATGTCATGTGGTTTGGTAGAGGAGAAAAGCCAAATCTGTTAAGCAAAGGCAGAGAAACAGATTCAGTTTTGAGAAAATTGAAGGCAGTTGTCTGATGTTAACAGTACAGTCTCATACATGTCTACTCTGTAGTAAGACCTGTGGTTGTCAGTGGCACTTTCCCTAGGTAAGTGCACACAAGATTTTAGCCAAAAGTGTATGTGGATGTCTAGATAACATCATCATCATCATCATCGTGCAGCATCATTCCAGAAAAAAAAAATCCAAAAATTTGCAACACTGCACACCATTGTTTTTCAGAAAGCAGCACCACCTCTCTCCTCTTTCAGTAATGCTTTCAAACAAGTCACTGTTGGAAAGGCAAGTTTCAAGAGGTGTTTTCGGTATTAACAAAAGCTTACTTAGGTGCGTGCAGGCTGGTGGTTGTTCTTGGTATCCCAGACCATGATAACTTCCATAAGACTTTCTACTTGAGTGTTTTTAAGCATATTCCATACTGCACAAAACAGTGATGAAGTCCTTCAAATCTGAAATGTTAAAGGTCACACCTGCTATGAAATTGTTTTGTTTCACAAAGTATGCCTTACAAAAACTGTGTGGCAAAAGGAATATCGGTGCCTTGTAACCAATACGATGCAGCTGTTTTTGACAACTTTATTATGTTGGTTTGGTAGGAATGTTACCCCTCTTAGACTCCACCAATAACAAAAATCTGTTAGTTCTGTTCCAAAAATATAGATATGCATAGCAAAATAAAAATTTCCATCAACTCAGTTGATGGATGGTGATAGACACAGTTTTAAAAATGTTATGCTTCACTTGGGTTTGATGAGAAAATCCTCCCCACAATGCAGAGGTGCTTGTGTGGGGCAGTGAGGAGGGAAGCAGTCCCCAGGGTTAATGGGAGAATAGGGGCTTTGCTTATGTTATTTCAAAGTGCATTCTGAAAATAGCCTGCTATCAGTAAAACATATTCTACAAAATGCCAAACCAAAACAATGATAAGCCCCTTGCCCCAAATGCCTCATAACCTCATACATTGCCTTATAACATCGGTCCTCTATTAGCTACATTGGCTCCCGATTGAAGTCCGGGCCCAATTCAAGGTGCTGGTATTGAACTATAAAGCCCTAAACGGCTTGGGATCAGGATACCTGAAGGAACGTCTTCTTCCCTATATGCGCTTCCGCCCCTTAAGATCAGAGGCAGAGGCCTTCCTCTGGGAACTCTTGAAAGAGGTTAGGAGAGTGAAAACCCGGAGGAGGGCCTTCTCCGTGGTGGCGCCCTGACTGTGGAATGCCTCCCCAAAGAGGCTCATCTGGTGCCAACATTATATTCTTTTTGGTGCCAGGTAAAAACCTCTTTATTTGCCTGGCATTTTAATATTTAAATATTTTAACTAGTTTTTAATGTCATGCTTAGTCACATTTCATTTCATTATTTCATTATATTATGGTTGTCATATTTGTTGTGTTTATTTATTGTTATGTTTAACTATGTTGTAAGTGGTCCTGAGACATTTGTTAAGGACAGGGTAAAAATACTGGAAATGAAATGAAATGAAATGAAAATAATAAATAAATAAATAAATAAATAAATAAATGTGGCCGTAGAAATGCTATGCTGCATGTTGAACAAATACCGCGATATATTTGCAACATATATATGGTGCAGAGGAGGGTTCCCATGTGCAGAAGAGGGTCCTCCACTGGAGACAAGCTGCCCTCCACATGTGGAAGACAGTGAGAGCGATGGCAGAGGGGGATGACACAGGCATGCTCAGACCCAGTTCCCCTTCTTATATGTGGAGGTGACAGACGCTAAGAACAACTGAACCGGGTTAGGTATATGCATGTGTGAGTCTGTGTATTCTTTTTACAAGACATGATAATTAAACAAGAACACATTACAAGAAGTACATGTTACAGATTAAGAGCTGTGCATGAACAAGGTTTCTTTTAAAACTTCCCTTGTTTTGTTTGTTTTGTTTTGTTTTGTTTTGTCCCTTCCCTTGTCTGTTTTGTCCCTTAGCCAGGCAATTTAGTGCTGTAAAGAGTGTCTTACATTTGGGCTTGCCTTTGAAAATCTGCTTGGGTAATTTTGCACTATTCATTCTGGAGAAATGAGAGGGAGTGTACTGTGGATTTTTTTTCTTTCTTAACTTGTAAAAGTTAACCTCAGTTATTTGATTTCTCAAGCTCTTCATAACTGGGATTGTGTCTGATGTATGCAAAATAACAACATGGTATAGAATTTTAAAAAGCAATTAGAGCCACTTAATGGTCTAAACAGTTGTCTGTTGATATAAGTTGCTTATCTGAAATAATTGTGTGTTTCATTTTCAGGCCAGCAAGAACATTAACATTGCCCAAAAGGTAGGATACATTCTCCTTGAAGCAATTTACATGCTTTTTCTTCTCTTGTGGTTTTTATGCATTGAAATAAAAGCAGGGAGAAGCTGAGAGATAATCAGATATCTTTTATGCAACAGTCCAAATGACTTCAGAGCTTGAAATGAGTACATTTTGTGGTTGTGTGTGACAAAACTGCTGATGCTTGCAGGGGACATCTTTATCTTCTTAGGCCTGTCATCAGCCAATGTCATCCATCCATCCATCTTACCTATATCTCAATAAGCATTAATGGTAAGAACAATAAGAAAATGTAAAAGCAAATAAGAGAGAAAACAAAACATACTAACACAGTATAGAGATCAATTAATTAAACATACTAAGGTGGTTCCCTCTAAAGAAGGGCTTAACTTATTAACTTCATGGTAAGCACGTCATGAGCAGAGCCGGCTGGAGCCGGGGGCCAGACGAGATGGCCCAGGAGACCCCTTCTGACCCCTGCTCTGTTTCTATGTTTCTATTAGATCATCCTTCAAGATTCAAGATTCACATAAACAAGGTTTGTATTAAACAGAATGGATAGAACTGTTTGTTGACAACAATGGCAGAGTAACCCTAAAATTACCCACTTTGGTTGTAAAACAGGAGTTCATAAATCTACATACCACGCATGTTTGCACCTTCACCTGAGCTTCATGGTCTGTCCCTCCTATCCCCCAACTTCGCCTTCCTCCCAGTATCACCTAGTAATGAACATGCCTTCCTCATTTTTCAGACGTGTTCAGGGTGTTTTGATCAAACCTCACTTTTTTCAGCCGTGTTCTACCACGCGATGCAATAGACAAACTCAAAATAGGGGATGCTGACAGTAGGGAACTCAGATGTCTAGAATTTGCATTGTGAGGAAAGGGAATATTGGTGCTGTTTTTTCTGCAGTTTTGTGTTCTAAAAACGAGGCTTCCTTTTGCAGACATTAGGCATTCAAAGACAGAAAGCTAGTAAATAAAGTCTGCAGCACAGCACCCTTGTAAGAATTAATAAAATATGTGGGAGCAAAACATGTATCTGTGATTGCAGATAGGGCAGTGGGAATGTTCATTGTATAAGGAAGGGCACCACTGCAGGAGAAATTGTTTGCCTTCTGCCTAATTACTGAACTACATCAAGGCTGCTGAGGGAAGAACTGTGTGGCAGGTCTACCATACCTTCTTGACCCAGCCCTGTCAAAGACAATCAAGAGCTTCGTTCACAATTGGCTGTAAGGGACCAGAGCCTGTTCTCTTCTTCAAGGCTGGGAGATCTGTTTGTGAAGACTATAAGTTGCATTAGGGTGAAGACCAAAAAATCCTATACTTGTAAAGACCAAAAAAAGTCTTCCAAGGATCTCGTCAGCATGACTGGCTGGAGGAACACTGGAAGTTACAGGGCTTTTCTCTGTATAAATATGCATAGGATTGCGCCATTACTGAAACATGTTTGCAAGCTACCTTTTTACTATGCTTTGAGAAAAACTTTGGTAATTTTTGGATGAAATGCCGTATGTTAAGACTACAATAAATAGTATTTAAAAAAACTACACATTGGCAGGAGCAGACTGAATATTCTAGTTTACTTATGTATAGCCGATTGGTTTGTTTTAGTTTCTGAGCTACTTAACGGACAATTCACTGATCCTGGAGTTACTGTTTCTAAAAACGAAGAATGTGTAGAGTCAGATAACCCTCATCTACTTTACCGTGTGAACTTGTCTCTAAAAGATATTTGTCTTACCACTCATATTAATAACTGATGAAAGAGCTTCACAGTTGTTCACTAATGAAGGATTAACTACCACTCATTTAAAATGTAAATGCATGTTCCCAATTTATTTTTAAAAAACCTGAATACAGAGCCAGAAGAATTACTTGCGGCAGCAAGACAAAGCATACTTCTACCCTTAGCTGGCAAACATTCTCAGATTAGTGTGGTATGTGGGACCCCTCTTCTCCCTGCCTCCCCACCACCCCATGCTAAATTTAAGGCTTCCTGCTAAGCAAGTTGGCTCAAAGGTTGTTCATGCATACTATGGTTTGGTTTGTAGCAACTAAGAGATGCTCACCTTAGATAAAAGGGAAGTTTAGGGTGCATTTAAATTTAGGGAATCTAGCTTTGCTGACTGGGGCCTGCTGGAAGTTGTAGGAATGTTTATGTCTAAACATGCATAGAATTGCACCTTATTTGTCATATATAGAAATTTGGCCATCCGTCAGACATCTGTAAATATTGTTTAGATTCTCAAAACAAGTCAGAATGATTTCTGTTAACGGCTGGCCTGAAAAAGAGATGCTCATCTGAGTTGTTTCCTTAAGTGAACAGTGCAGCAGAGCCAGAGCAGTGCAGTAGCTAGATGGCCAGCTGGGGTCCAGAGGTCTGGATCTGGGGCCCCACTTAGCTCTGAAGCTTCAGCTGGATGACTTTGGGCCAGTCACTGAAACTTAGCCTCATTTGCCTCATAGAGTTGTTGTCAGGATGAAAGAGGAAGAGAAGTGAGACCATGCAAGAAACTGGTTTCCTTGCAAGAGGGAAGGAAGTGGGATAACTACACTTGTAAGCCTCCCCCCCTTGTGAGCTGGAGCTTACCAGTTTACCAGAAGAGAACTTGAAATTCCACATGAGCTGAACTAATGCTGACATTTTGCTGTGGAAATTACCTATCTATACCTAGTTTTTTGGGAGAAAATGAACCTTTAGCATAATGTGTAATCAAGTCGTAGAAGGAATATACACAATAATTCAGGGCATCTTAAGACAGAAGCTACATACTTAATAGTTCTTTTTGAATATTTATGAAAAGTAAACTGCTCTGCACAATAGGCATTCTTGGAGTTAGGCACGTTTCTTGACATTCAATCTAAATTTGCTTTGTGGCATTTCTGATCCACGACGTTATCTGTCCCTAAGTACACCTGCCAAATAAGTTGTCTCCTTCTGTCAGTGGCAAGTAACTTTTAATTATCCAGGTTCACCCTCATCATTCTCTTTTTTCTTTAAGGCCAACCTTTCCACCTTATCATCATAGAAACAGCGTGAGTCAGATGGGGCATCCTGGGCAATCTAATCTGACCCCCAGCTCCAGCCAGCTCTGCTCATGACATGCCTACCATGTGCATGTCTAGCCTGTCCTTGAACACCCTCACCGATGGGGCTTCAACCACTTCCCATGGAAGCCCCTTCCGTAGCCTCAGAGTCCTAACTGTCAGGAAGTACTTCCTGGCATCCTAATTAAACCTTGGTTCCCTGTGCTTGGCTCTGTTGGAACATGTCCTGCCCTCCTCTGCAGGGGAGAACAGGTCTCTACCCACCTCCATGTGACACCCCCTCATGTACCTATACATCACCAACAGATCCCTTCGGAGTCTCCTATTCTCCAGGCTGAAAAGTCCCAGTTCCCTCAGTCTTGCCTCATCTTTTGCATTCCAAACATTTAATTGAACAGTCCCCTTTCTTGAATCTTCTACATTTTGTTGGTGTTCTTCTTAAGTTGTGTTGACCAAAAATTGGACGTAACTCTCCAACACTTAATCAGTTCAGAGCAATGGAGCACTCTTTCGTTTTATGTTTGATCGATAGTGTTTCAGTTAGTCAGACCGCACAGAACTTTTTCTTATTTTACTGGGTAAATTACATGGAATTCTTTTTCAGCCTTGACAGAAGTGCTGGAGACTGGCCCTTTCAAGTTCTAATATTCCATACAGTTTATTTTGGGTATTGGATCTGGAAACCTCCTGACCAGACCAAAAATATGGACATGAGGAAGAAGTTTAACAATCCATAGTGTGTATGCTTAGTCTACTATAATGGTTTTATTCAAAATGGTACTGTTTTTCTAAATGGAAAGCACCCCAAAATGGTTTGAATTAAATATATAGCAGTTGCCTTCACTGTTCTCTGAGCCAAAGAAATCTATTTTTGGCCAGACCAGAAATAATAAATAGTTGTTGCAAAAAAACAAAACAAAACCCCTCCCTAGACTGTACCTTTCTATTAGAGGTTAGAGACAAATATTAATGAACTGATAAAAACACTATAAAATGAACACTATGAAGAGGACCCACTCGAGGAAAAGTGTTGGTAAAAAAACCAAATGAGTGCCTGTTGAAAGCACCACTTTCTGAAACAGCTGTAGAATCTCTTTGCCCTCCAGAGCCAAGTTCAAGGGCTTTGGGGGGCAGATTCTGATGGTGGGCAGGGCCAAAATACCAGAACATTTTAGCTTAAAGCTTTTAGCTTGCCAGCAACCAAGCCATAGGAGAGAGGCACTTTAACTTTTTCGAATGGGGGAACTGCACAAAAGCTGCTAAACCAGCAAATGATTGGTGGCTGGTGTGAGTGAAGGAGCCGGTGGAAGGGAGTATATCCATCTCGGGAACCACTGGAAGGACAGAGTTGGTCCCAGGTGTGAAGATTTGCATCCTGTTCTAAAAAGACCACAGAGTGAATGGGGTTCACTTTTGAAGTCTTATATTAACTTCCCCTATCCTGATGCCCTCCAGATGAGTGGGACTGTTATATCCATCACCCCCAGCCAGTACTGGCATTAGCGACATAGGCTAGGGTGATGGGAATAATAGTGATACCCAGTTTGATCCTATTTAAATAAGAAAGCTCTTGTGATCTTCTTTAAAACAGCACTGAACATTCCAAGCAACCATATAAAGCAATCTACTCTCCTTGATACTTTTTCCTTTCTAGAATGTATCGTCTTTTAATTGCAATTTTCTATTTTGTTCTAGCTATGCAGCTCTGATAGCTGACTGGCCTGTAGTGGTTTTAGGCATGTGCACTGTATTAATTGTGGTGTGTGCATTGGTTGGAATCCTAGTCCCAGATCTTCCAGACTTCTCTGATCCATTATTGGTAAGTAAACATTAATATTTTGTACTGTCAAAGCACTATTTTGGCATATGCTTTTCCAGCAGTAATGGTATGAGAGCTGCAAGGAATTATTGGTGAATGTATTGTATTGTTTTGACGTACAGAGGCGCAAAAATCAAAACTCCAAAGCTGAAATGTGAAATGTGATAGTTGAGTTCACCCTATCTCTGCAGCTTCTCCGTATGTTTAGCAATAACAAAAATGGAAAAGATCCCTTCCAGCAGCACCTCTGAAAATTATTTTCAGTGTATTATGGATCACTATTATAATAATAAATAATTTAATGGGTTTACTATGTGTAATTATTAAAATATGGAACATTGACATTTTTAAATGGGAACTGAAGAAACTGCAGAAGATTTGGTGCCTTAAATGGTCTGTTATAACTGAATTTATTAAAAGCCTGCATCTTAAATGTGGCAGTCGTTTGTTCTTGCCAGACATTCATGAGAATTGTCCACATTTTAGCCCCTGTGCTTAAATGTCCTGACAGTTCAGAATTGGTGAAAACAACAGCAGCAATGACATTGCCTTAAACTGCCAGGCACCTGAGGAGGAATGAGCAGAAGAATCACTGCTGGCTTCATACAAAGTGGCTTTTGTTTAGCAGCAGCCCGCAATTCACCTGTCACAGTTTGGCCAACATATCAGCTGTCATTGGTTTCTCCTCCATCCTGCCTTGGGGTAGTTTTGCAGTGGTGTGGAGATAAACTAAATTATTGCTGCCAAGGTACTATAACATGGCGCATGGCAGACACATGGATCACTGTATGAAGCAGCTGCTACAGAGATGGTTTTGTCTCCCAGCTTCTCTTGAGCAGCAGGTCCTCATATGCTTGGCTTGGAATGATGTGAGTAAATGTCAAAGCCTTGATAAGAGCAGTAGGATCCTCCTGCAAGAGGGAGTTGGTGAGTGTGCTAACAGTGACAGCAGGAACATGAAAAGGGAGCATTGGGGTAGTCTTGTCACTGGTTTCATTTATTTGTTCCATTTGTACCAAGTGTGGTTTTTAATATATTTGGGGTTTTCCAGAGGGCTGTGTTGGGCGGGGAGTATGCAAGTGATGAAAGAATTGCTAAATAAAAATAGAGATTTTTAAAAGAATAATTAATTAAGCTAAGAAATCTTCTACAGAATCGTGTGTTTTGTGCTATTTACTGTTTTGTGCAGCTTATTTGTGCAGCATAGTTCTCACTGGACATTAAAGGTGCAATCCTATGCCAGTTTAGCCATCCTGGGAGTTGTAGGATATTTTTACTATCTGCTATCTAAAATGCATAGGAGTGTGCCCTAAATGAGTCAGTGTCATAAGAATCTGTAAAGATACTAGTATGTAAGGATTAGGGTCAGTCCTATAACATGGTGTTCAAAGGTTGTTGGCTGGGCTTCAGATTCAGCAGTGGAAGAGGGGACGCTGGAATTCTCAGCTGACTAGCCAAGGCCAGTGGACCAGGAAATAAGCCAGGCAGTTGCTGAAAATCAGATAGTTCTTAGTTGTAGTCTCTGTGCACATGCACATAAGTCCAAAGCCTGGATTGGAGAGAAACTTCTATAGCAGTGAGCCCCGCCCCCCCGCCACCCCTTCCAGGCCTTGGGATAAAAGGGGTCCCACCAGCTTCCTCAGTTTCTTTCCAATTGCACTTTTTGCTGAATCACCTGATTGGATCAGCTTCTGAATCAGTTTTTTTTCTACTCACTGTTTTTTCCTGATCTTCCTTCCCTTTCTCCCTATTTATTTTTAATTAAGTTTTCTTGCAAAAGTGTGCTTTCTCCTACCTTTCTTTCTACTGGGGACAAATGGAGAACCATCTGATGTTTGAGGTGATTTAGCCTATAGGAATCCCAGTACTCCTTGAAGGTACAGCAAGCTCTTTTTGGCTTGGCAGAAGGAAGAGGTCCAGTCTGGAATCACCTTCCTGTCATTAAGCTGCATTTCCCTAATGGCCAGGAAACAAACTTTGCTTGTTTCCTTTATTATTGATTTTAGCAATAGCCTTCTTTTTTTCACAAAACCAGCCTAACTGCTCAGTTTTAACATAATAGAACGTTTAGTTAGCCTTTTGTCTTGATCTGCTTGGAAGTAGGGGGAGAAGACCTACCGTGACTCACCAGATGCCCCTAATTTTGTAACAACAAATGGAAAAATTCAGCACCTAAATCTACATTTCAATTAGTGAATATGTTGCTTAGAGAGAGCCTTCAAGTACCATAGTGGAAAGGTACTTTAGGGGATGACCTGGAGTGACTCAGAGCCTTTAATTGTGTAAATACAATGATGCACAACCTGGGGAAGGGCAACTGCAGGTGGGGAGGGCAATAATTCCTGCCAGTTCCTGTTAAAAATGGACTCTTGTAGCTGCTATCTGCATTTCAAGGGAGCTGGCCTTCAAATGCAAATACCAGCTTTGGAGAGGTGGTTTGGTGGGGGTAGGGAGAAAAAAGCTTCCGATCTCCCCCTCACAGTTCTACAGTTGTTCAGGCTTTTCTCTGTCTTGCTGCTAGTATAACAATATAAGAGCACATTAATGATGTTCACACAATTAATGTGGTATCCAGCTCGGTCCTTTCTCACTTCTGGAAGAGCAAGATTGTTCATTTGGTAGTGGTGAAGAGGCAGGGGAAAGTTCTTCATGCATGGATTTGCATAGAACTGCAGAGAGCTACAGGTTATGATAATCCATGATGGAAAGGCAGCACCACCCATTCATGGAGGAGTCAGTCCCACATGGAGGGCCCTGTGCAACCTCTGCTGCAGTTCCATCTTCAGCTGCCACCTCTCTGGCAAGTTGAGCCTGACCAAGCAGTTGCGCCTGCATTGTCACATTGCCACAACATGAAGCCGTTCCTCTTTGATCCCGATGCAGCAGCAGGGTTGGCCGCCCCCACACAAGGGGCAGGTTTCGCAGTGGACACTGGGGCCTACGTCTAAACGCATTAAGAGACTGAACTTTGAGTTACCAGGGTTGGGGATCAGATTTTCTTACTTTTGAACCCTCCAGTTGGAAATACATACTGAAAGAATGGTGAGGATTCTACTGAAGGGATTCAAAAATAAAACTCAAAATGCCTTTGCACATAGTGATGGTGGGCTGACGCTTGGAATACCACGTGCGGTTCTTGTTGCTGTATCTCAAAAGGATACAGGAAAGGTATGGAAAAGAGCAAGCAAAATGATTGGGGATGGATCATCTCATATGGTTACGCTTCACATGTTTTAGAAAAACATTGTGTGGACACATGATAGAGGAGTATACGATGATACAGGGTGTGGAGGAAGTAGACAAGGAGACATTCCCTGTACCTAATATTCGAGCTTGGGGTCATCATATGAAATTGAATGGTGGGCATTCAGGATCAAAGATAGGAAGTCCTTCTTCAGGGAACACAAACTAGGGTCTGCTGCCCTGAGATGTGGTGATAGCCAGCAGATTTGGTGGCCTTGAATAGGGGATTAGATGAATTCATAAATTGTTTCCTTGTGCAAGTAGAGGCAGTGTGGGGGGACCTGGGTTCTAGGTCCCACTTGGCCTTGGTGCTCACTTGAGTAGCTTTGGGCCAGTGACGCACTCTCAGCCTAATCAGTTCCACTGGGCTGTTACGTGGATAAAATGGAGCAAAGGAGGACCATGTATTGGACAGGATATAAATATCTTAAACAAATAAATGCACACCACCTTGGTCTCCTTGGAGAAAAAGGCAGGATAGCAGTGTCACAAGCAAATAATGAACACAGCTATCAGTGCCTTCCAGTCAAGAGGGCTATATATGATCTCATGGATCAGACAGCATCCTATGAATATAAGCTGTGGGGGAGCAACAGCAAAAGAAGACAGTTGCCTTCATGTCCTGCTTCTGGGTTCCACAAAGTCACCTTACTGGCCACACGGGAAACAGGATGCTGGTATGATGATGCAGCAGGGCTGTTCGCCTGCTCTCAACAGCAGCCCCATCACATGCTGAGTTCTCTTCTTCCGTAATGTGTGGCAGAACCTGCCTTGTGCCCTGTCCTTCCTTCTCGTCACTAGCTGGTGGCAGGTAGAAACATGTAGCCTAGTGACACTGGAATACCAGACAGGATGAAGTTCATTGTTGCTCCTCGTGTCGTTCTCCCTTCCAGAAATGAAGCCATTTAAATCGAAAACTATTATCTATGAGAGATGCTTCTGAGTGCCATGCCATCATTTTAATTGTTGTCTTCCTGAACTAAGAAGTCCTCTCATATTCTGCCTTAGGGTTTTGAGCCAAGAGGAACTGCTATAGGTCAAAGACTGGTCACTTGGAATAATATGGTGAAAAACACCGGCTATAAAGCAACCTTAGCAAACTACCCTTTTAAGTATGCAGATGAGCAGGCTAAGAGGTAAGGGCTTCCAGTCATCTTTTCTGCCATTGTTTTCCAACTGATTATTTATGTACACTAATGAAATATGGGAGTTCTGAAATATTTTTTTCCTGCCATATAACAAAAATAGCACATTTAACATCTGGCTCTCTTAACTCTACACCCAGAGTTAATAATAAAGTGTCATGCTACAAAATTTTACAGTGATATAAAAGCTATTTTGAAAATGAGGTTTTAAACCCATGAATTTATGTGGGTCATGATTTATTTTCTTATGGAACTCCACTTTTTCTAGCTACACTGGCTGAAGATGTGTTGCAGGGTTGTATCTCCCCTATTTAGGGTAACCATAATGAGAAAAGATTATGTTTTCAATCTTATTGACAAAGTGAAAGCCTTGGATGGTATTGATCCTATAGTACTTAAAGAACTCAAATATGAAATTGCTTCTAACAAAAAGTATCATGTCCCTAAGATCAGCCTCTGTACAACAGGGCTTGAGAATGGCCAGCATAAGACCAATATTTTTAAAAAGGGTCTAGGGGGTGATCTAGGACAGTTCCAAGCTAGCCAGGTTAACATCTGTTCCAATTAAAGTGGTTGGAAGCTTTAGTAAGTATAAAATCAGTAAACACACAGAAGCACAACCCTGCTGAGAATGAATTAACATGGCTTCTGCAAAGTAAGCCTCATCCCATTAAACTTTTAGAGTTATTTCAGAATGTTAATAATGTGGGCAGGAGTAACAATAGTAGACTTTTTTTACTTGGATTTCCACAAGTTCCTTACCAAGAATCCTGAGCACACCTAGTGGACATGGAATAAGAAGAGATGTTGTCTTATGGGTCAGTAATTGGTTAAAGAACAGAAAGCAGAGTTGGAATAAATGGTAAATTCTCCCAGTGTAGGGATGTAAATATTTGGGTCTCATAGAAATCTGTATCAAGGCTGATACTTTTTATTTATTTGTTGACAACACCACATTATTTAGGATGATTTTTTTTCAAGGGAATCTAAGGAACCTCTAAAAGGATCTCCCCAAATTGAGAGAATGGACATCAAAGTGGCAAGTGCAGTGCAATGAAAGCTAGTGCAAAGTGATGCTTGCTGGAAGAAAACCAAAAACCCCAACCAGAAGTATGAGCTGATAGGATCTGAACTATTGCACTCATATCCTGCTTCTGGGTTTCCCATGGATAGTTGGTTGTCCACCATGTAGGAATAAAAAGAAACCAAATGGGGAATACTTGGCTGAACAATATTGCAAGTGAGAAGGATCTTGGAGTTGGGTCAACACTGTGATGTGGCTGCAAAATGCTATTTTAGGCTGTATTAATAGAAGTATCACTTCCAAATCAAGATACTTCCGAGTATCACTTCATGTCCAAATCATGTGAAGTACGAGTTTCCCTTTACTCACTGGTTAGGCTTCATCTGGGCACCATAGTTTAAGAAAGATGCAGAAAAACTGGAAAGGGTTCAGAGGAGGGCAGCAAGGATGATCCAGGGACTGGAAACAAATCTCTTTGCAGAGTTATTGAAAGAACTGGGCACATTTAGCCTCAAGAAGAGAAGCCTGAGGGCAGATATGATAACACTCTTCAAGGATGTAAAAGGCTGTCAGAAAGAACAGGATCTCTTCTTACTCATCACAGAGTACAGGACATGGAATAACAGGCTCAAGTTATAGGAAGCCAGGTTCCAGATGAACATCAGAAAGAACTTCCTGACTACTACAGCAGGATGACAATAGAACCAATTCCCTAGGAAGGTTGTAGGTTCTCCCACACTAGAGACGTTCAAAATGCAACTGGACAGCCATCTGAGAAGGATGGTTAAGCCTGGAGTTCTGTATTGAGCAAAGGGTTGGACCTGATGGTCCTCTGACCCCCTCCAACTCTACTATTGTTTGATTCTGTGTGAACCAAACGCTGGACTAGATGCATCCGTGGTCTGATCCAGCAGCGCTCTTCTTCTGTTCGTTCGGTGGAGGGTGGGGAGGGTTATGTCATTGATTTTGATGATCATCTATAAAATAAAAATTCTTCTCCCTTAGTCATCGAGATGGCAGATGGTCAGAGGATCACTATGAGAGAGAGAGAAGGGAAGCAGACTGGAATTTCCACAAGGACAGCTTTTTTTGTGACATTCCAAGTAAGTTGGTTGCAATTAACTATATGAAATGTTTTGGAAAATGCCCTCAGCACTAAAATTAAACTGTCTTTGTATACAACAGTTTAAGGAATTTGAACTAATTATATATATATTTTTTTGCAGTTGGCACTTTCTGCCAAGCACTGCCATTTCCTTGGAATCATTCTTTTCAGTTTGGAAAAAATGATGACCACTCTAGCCTTGCTACATTTGAATTGCCCCCATAGTGGTGTAATTTAGCATGCATGTGGGTGGTGGTTGTTTTTATTTCCACAAGCGAGACAAAAATACTGAAGTGTGTCTTTTTCCCACTAAAATGTTTTCCTGCGTTCACTTTCTTGGCAGCTGCAAGTCTGTGATGTTTGTGACATGGGAAGAAGTAACACTACATCTCAGTGCTGGATATAATTTGGTGGCTGAGTGTTTTCTTTTCCAAAATGATGCAGGAATGACGTGATGCTAGCATGGGAGATAGACTGGAGGCCAATAGCCTAAGATGTTTCGTCATTCTTGTACTTCTGTAGGAATGGGGGGGGGGAGAGGAGAGGCAGCCCATAAAGGGATTTCCAGTCTGGTTCTCCCAAGAACTCCCTGTCCCCTTTCCCTAAGCCACCAATCATTTGGAGGCTTCCCACCTTTTTTGCCCCCCCCCCCCGCATTTTAAGAGGATGCAGTTCTTTTCCTAAGGCTTACTTACTGACAGTAATGACATTTAGCTAACGTGCACTTTATTTCTCTATCTGTTTACTTATTGAAGCAGTACTCTCTGGTTCTTCAGCCCCACCCTTTGGTCCCACCCACCACTGGAATAAGGCCCTTGAGAGCTTCTCCAGAATTGGACTTGCCCCTAGGGTGGAAAGATTTTCCCCACCCCTGGATAACAAACCTCTTCCTCTTGCAACCAGAATAAATGCAAATCCTTCTTCCCTTGGTCTTATCCAACCATCCTCAGAAGCATTTTTTTTTTTTTGCTTGGTTGTAAAGATTACAGGATAGTGGCAGTGTGTCTATTAACATTTTAATACACTTGACCCTATATAATTTCTGCATACTACATTCTTACAAGATGGCTACTCAGAGTTGCTGAAAAGAACCCTAACTTAACACAGTAAGTTCAGCTGCTGTTGCATATATACATGGTAATGAGTTTACCAGAAGGTGTTTTAGTAAGACCCTATTAACCAAGGTTCCATACATGTTTCTCCTCTTCCATTTTATCCTCACAGCATTCCTGTAAGGTAAACAGTACGGAGATTTAACTGTGTCAGGGTAAACACCTTCTGATATTTTCTGTCTTATTCATGGCTATGTTAGCTCTGAAGTCCTGTGATGTCAGAAGTCTCCATGATATGTCAATGCTATTTTCAGGCGATCGCTATTCCCGGGTGGTGTTTACTTCAGCAGATGGAGACAACTTGTGGAATTTACCTGCTATAAAATCAATGTGTAGTGTGGATAATTTGAGGGTACGTAAAGACATTTGACTTTTTAATATGACAAAATACATTCCGTGCTAACTATTGAATGGCTTTCTAATTGCAGCATAAGCTATTATCAAGCAACCATTTAGGCAAAACTAACTTTGCCTTATTCAGTGATAAGTTATCTGCCTGATATTTCTTCCTGAACTTTAACAGTGCCATCTGTTTCTTTTCTTCACCATTTCCTGTTCTGACAATGTGTTTTTTGGGGGAAGGGGCAGGATTTAGCACATTGCTTCAGAACGAGACTCTGCTTTGGAAGGATATTCTGCTTTTCCCTTTGTTGCTTTTTCTGTCATCTCATCTTCCAAACTAGACCAGACAATGTTACTTTGCCCCTCCCCCCTTCTCAGCACTGTGTTGTATGTGGTTCTGAGGCAGTTACTTCAGTTTGTGTCACCTGAAGGGAATAGGTTGACAACTGTGAACTCAGACATATACACAGTAACTTGTTTAAATATAGAAATAAAAAATAACATACACATACATATAATTCACTCCAGATCAGGGGTTGAGAAAGCAAGAAGTCACTTCCTCTTCAGAGCACAAGGGGAGAAAGAAGAGACTTTGGTCCTGACTGCTCTGATCAGAAAAGAATGTTTTCCATCCCAGAATAGTTAGGGCCGTTTTTTATTCCCCTAAGGAACCAACATGTAAAAAGTAACAGCTTTGGGCTCCTCTTGCATGTGTTAGAAGTGAACAGTGCACACAGCTGAGACTGATGTCTGGTTTTAACTAATGGACCTTAACTGATGCCAGGTCTATGCTGAAGGGAAGAGCATATGTTCATATTGTGTGTCTGTAATGATATGCAAGCTTGTCACTCTTTGAAAGTGTGCTGCTAAGTATTCTTTGACAGTTGTTGGAGTCCCAGAATTTAGTAATCTCCCAGAGCTGTTCTGCAGGGATCAGCAGCATTGGTGGAATAAAAGAGGAGGCTCCCTTTGTATAGCTTAAGAACATGTGAACACAAGAAAAGCCATGCTGGATCAGACCAAAGGTCCATCTGGTTCAGTGCTGCCATCTGACTCATTTGGTACACACATTGGCAACCAGTTGCCCGCAGGGTCCCTCAAGCAGGATGGGTATATGATCCCCACTGGCCCAAGCTCCTCAGCAACTGGTGTATGCTGGCATGCCATCTCTGGTGGAGGAGATCGCTCATGGCCAGCAAGGCTAGTAGCCACTGATAGCCTCTTCTTCCATGAATCTGTCCAGACCCCTTTTAAAGCCATCCAAACTGGTGACCATCGCCACTGCTCATGGCAGCAAATTCCATAGATTAACTATACATTGTGTGAAGAACTGCTTCCTTTTATCTGTCCTAATTTTCCAGCAATCAGCTTCATGGGATGACCCCAGGTTTGAGTGTTATGGAAGAGGGAGGAAAATGTCTCCCTCTATTTCTCCACACCGTGCATGATTTTGAAAACTTCTATCAGGTCTCCCCTTACTCCCCTTTTTTTCTAAATTGAACAGTCCCAGTTGTAGCTGCTCCTCTTAGGGGAGTTGCTGCAGCTCCCTGATCATTTTTGTTGCCCTTCTCTGTACTTTTTCCAACTCAGTAATGTCCTTTTTCAGGTAAGGTGACCAGAACAAAACAGAATCTTCCAAGTGTGGTAGCACCAAAGATTTATTACAAGGGAAGGAACATTTCGGCAGTTCTGTTTTCTGTTCTGTTCCTAATGATGGAGTTTGCTACCTTTGCAGCTGGGATTTTCATCAAGCTGTTCACCACTACCCCAAGATCCCTTTCTTGCCCAGTCACTGCTAACTCAGATTCCATCAGTGAAGTTAAGATTTTTTGCCCAACTTGCATTACTCTACACTTGCTTATATCAAACTGCATTTGCCATTTTGATGCCTATCTTCCCAGCTTGGAGAGATCCCTTTGGAGCTCCTCACACTCCCTTTTGGTACAAGACTGTGATGCCCCAACAATGCAAAAAGACATGCAAGGAGTGTGTGGGAAGACATGTACTCAGTTTAGTGGAGACCTGTGTTATTACATTTATTGCTAGACCACTGAAGAGGCCAGCCTATACAGATGTCCATGTGGAGTGAGTGTGTAGGAAGTAGATGGTTGGTCCTCTCAGGACTGGGACTCATAATTATTGCTTGGGCACAGCAATCTTGTGACCCCTTGACAGTATTTAGAGGAGCATGTGTTTGCTTGGCTCCCCAGCTCCAAGCTCAGGGAAAAGCTGACATTACCCCCTCAAAGCCCGCATAGAAACATAGAAAACAGAGCGAGTCAGAAGGGGTCTCCCGGGCCATCTAGTCTGACCTCCGGCACCAGCCGGCTCTGCTCAGAACTTGCCCACCATGTGGACGTCCAGTCTATCCTTGAACACCCGCACCGATGGGGCCTCAACCACCTCCCAGGGAAGCCCATTCCACGCCCTCGGGGTCCTGACTGTCCGGAAGTGCTTCCTGGCATCCAAATGGAACCTTGGCTCCCTGAGCTTTGCTCCGTTGGAGCACGTCCTGCCTTCCTCTGCAGGGGAGAACAGGACTCTACCCATCTCCATGTGACATCCCCTCACATACCTGTATGTTGCCAACATATCCCCTCTGAGTCTCCTCTTCTCCAGGCTGAAGAGACCCAGTTCCCTCAGTCTCGCCTCATACAGCATCCCCTGCAAACCGGCCACCAGCCTTGTGGCCCTACGCTGCACTGACTCCAACCTGGCTATATCCTTTCTGTAATGAGGGGCCCAAAACTGAACACAATACTCCAGTTGCGGGCGCACTAGAGTCATGTAGAGTGGTAGTAACATCTTTCTCCGTCTAGAAGCCACACTTCTGGCTATGCAACCAAGGGTGGCATTCGCCCTCTTGACCACCGCATCACACTGCTGACTCATGTTTAGCCTGCAGTCAACCAGCACCCCGAGGACCCTTTCACAAGTGCTGCTCTCCAGCCACTTATCACCTAACCTGTACTTATGACTGCTATTCCTATGCCCCTGCACTTGGGGCATAGGAATAGCTGTCATAAGAATAGCTGTCCTATGCCCCAAGTGCAAGACCTTGCACTTAGGGCATAGGAAAGAACCACGCCAGCTGCCTCTGTGAGGCTGGAAGAACAGCCTCAGAGAAGGGACTGAGGGGATGATACAGCAGGGGGAGGGGAGAAGACTGGCACCATGATACAATATCCTGGCAGTGCACCAGCCTCCTTTCCTCTCCTTCTCTGAAGCCCTGTAGTTTGACAGCCAAAGGGGGCCGGGGCTGCCTGGCTGCCGAGGACTCCATCTGTGCACTTCCTGTCCTACATAGGATGCCTGTATTTCTCCATTTTCAGGGAATTACTGTCAACCTCCATGGATCATGCCTTGGTTGTTGTAAGGCTTGTGCAACCCATTTTGAGTTCCAGAGATCCAACTGGCTATATGTTGAAATAAAATGCTTTTAGCCATTAGGACCTCTTAGAAGTGGCAGCCTGATCTTTACTGTGTTTCCTCATGTGATGATCCCATCCTACTTCCATGAACTGTGTATGAGATAATACAGTTTGGTGGGTAAACACAGTAAAAAGTTCTGGAACATTCAGAGGCATTAGAAATCTTAGTAACACACAATTTGAGAACAGGCCAATTTCTAAGATGAGCAAACATTTCACATCATCATCATCCTGTTTCTATTTCTGGAATGATTTCAGTCTGGTTACTCTAAAACAATGAAGTTACTTTAAACCAGCCAACAGCTCTTCGGGTTATGTATTTATGGCCCCTCTATTCTGAGTGTTTGGGGAAGCAGCAGTGCTACTCATATATTAAAACAGATGACTTCCTGTTAGAAACATTTGCAGTTCTAAAGGCTTAATGGAGTGGGTGGTGTAATATGAGTAGCATATTATTGTTTTAATCATTTTTAATTCCTTGCCTATATCATTCAAGCCATGTGGAAATATGTGGTGTTTTGAAGTGTTTGTTGTGCTTAGAAGACAGCTCTGCCCTACTGCAAATCTCGGGTTCTCTGAAGTGATGTTGCTTTCCAAAGTGAGGAATTGGTGCCTTTAATCTTTATTAAAGGTCTCTATTGTTGGCTTCTGGCCGTATCTCTTTCCAATCCATGCTTTTTAAGACTCCTTTTGTACTGAAGTCAATGTTGCTAACTCCAGTGAAAACAAATCCCAACTGCTTTGCTGTTTTGAAAGTTAAACTAAAGGACTAATTTAAGGTTTAACCAATTTCTCTTAGCCTTTCTGTGCTGTTATGTATTTTACCTTTGATTATAAACCCCTAGCATGTCTATACGAGTAAAGGATAGTATATATTGTATTTCCAGCTGTGTACCAGTCAAACACATACTGTCATGGGCATGCTGTATCAACTTCAGCCATCTGGTTTATTACATTTAGGATTATATTCTGTAACTGCTCCACTCAGGCACCCTTGTAATCCTAATGATAATGCCATGTGCAGAGTAGTGCATTCCCTATTTGGACATTGCTAACATCTAACACTTTTCCAAAATCATCCATGTGCTTTCAAAGTTTAATAGATCTGGAAAGACTTTAATAAATCTCCACTTTTTCCACACACTCTCATAGCCTGGGGCCATCCCATGATTGGTGGGAGATTCATGACAGATAAAAGGAAGTATACAGTGAAACTGTGGAGTTTACATCCACAAGTTTTAGTGATGCCCACTCTTTAAAGAGAGATTGGACAGATTTATGGATGAGAAGGCGAACAAAGGCTTGTTTCTACACTCCACTTGCTTAGGGAACTTGGGTAGGAAGCTGTTGTTGCACTTGTATCCTGCTTATGGGTTTTCCATTGGTCACTGAGAACAGAAGGCTGGGCTAGATAGACCTTGGTCTGACACTGCCTAGCTTTTCTTAGGTTCTTACATTCTTAAGCTCCCTTGAATGTTTCCTGAAAGTGAGCATCCAGTTCAGAGAAAATCCTGTTGCAAGTAGATGCATCTGAGTGTGTGTGTGTGTGTGCATTTCTAGATATATCTTGTCATGGTGGACAGGTTCCCATGGAAGACTGTGGTCTGCCATCATTAAACTTCCCCTGCACTGTCCTTTTACTGGAAACTGCTGGGTGAAGTCTAGGGCTTGGTCTGTCCTTCAGAAGCTTGGGTTTCCTCAAGAGGATCCTCACCTTCCCAAGTCCCACCCCTGCCCTGGAGGGTGTCAGGGGCTTTTTAAGGAGACAGGAAGAAAAATCTGCTTCTTACATCATTGTGTGATAGATAACAAGGAGGTTCCCCGGCATACCACTTCCTTCTGAGGGGAGGACAAGTGGCATAGAGGGGAGTGCCCTTGTTATTGCCAGTCACAAAGCAGAGATAGCAAAGAGGAGTGCGGAGCAGCAGCCGTGTACTTGTCCCCCACACTTTTCTTTTGACTTCTCTGGGTGGTACTTTGCAGCTTCACCTTCCCTAAGTCCTCTCCCCAACGGGAATAGGCCTGAGACAGGCAAAGCATCTGCACAGCATACAAACCTCATCCAATGGGTGAAGGTCCAGGTATCGCAAAGCCATTTCCAGACAGCTATATTGAAAGTTTCAGCTGCATGACAGACTTCCCAGGGACCCAGTGATGCCAGTGGGCATGGCCACCCAGTGGAGGTCATCTGACCTCTGCCCCGTTCTGGTTGCCCACTCTGCTGCATCAGATCACAGGTGTGGCTGACAACCCTCATGCAATGTTGCTTTTGTTATACCTGCAGTGTAAATGCTAAAAAAAATCCAAATGGAAAGGGTCGGAAATCTGAAAAGCACCAAGAAGGCAGCATAAGCACAGTGTTTTCTTTTGATGCTCTAGAGCAAGTGGAAAATACTCATACAGTATGTCTGACCTAGCATGTGCAAAGTGTCCTCGGCAACACCCTTTGATCAAAAAATAAAATAGGCAGCAACTCATGAGTGTTGTCTTAGCTTTATTGCAAAAAGCATGTTTTTAAGTGGTGTTTTGATGCATTTTGGGCTGAGGCTCCCCTTCTAGGTTCTAGCAACCAATTCATCTTTATCATTAGAGACAGTTACTTTAGCAGCGAGTGGGTATGGCCTGCAACGTGCTGAAAAATAGCATTTCAACTTGAACTTGAAACAGTGAAGTAGACAATAGCTTTTCCTCCCAGCTTGCCTGACTGACCCAAAGGGCTTGCATATTGTATCCTCCTTTATAAATCTGAACATGTGCCATGAAAAATAAAGAAATGACATTCCATTGTTTCCTTTTCTTTATTAGGTTGTTCATTTTTCCTGAGTCTGCCTGTGTGAGTGTTTTTATCTGGAAACAATCAAATCTGAATTCTCCTGTTTTTTCATTTTTTTTTAAATGCCAGGTCATTCTTGTTCTGAAATTGTTTGACGAAATTAAGACCATATTAGATCTTTTATAATGGTTGGGAGAATTCCTAAAACCTGTGAGGGGTCTTTGTTTGTTTGTGTTTGTTTTTGGTCTGTGCTATAAAAGGGATTGCTCATAACAAGCCGAAGCAGTTTCAGTATGACTCAAAACCAGAATGCTTCAATGCCTGAAATGTGCCTGCCTTTCAGATGCTTAAGCATGTGTGTAACTAGTTCGGTAAGGCTAATCCCAATATTGGGAAAGTGCATAAGTGTATTCAGGAATTGCCCTTCGTTATGCATTCCAAGCAAGAAATTTGATGAATGAGCCCAGCTGTACATTTTAAAAAATATATTTTTCAAGCTCCTCAGCATAATTAATGGCTATCCTGACCCTCTAAATAGAGCCATGCTGATACTGCCACCAAGATATCCAGATCTTTGTAGTGCATTGACACAGTCTCAGCGACTTGCTGTCCTGTACTTGCATGTGCGTGTGCACACATGCATGTGCACGCACATGTGCACCGCAATTCTGGTTGTGACTGCTCTTCTCTGTGTGTCCCCTCCTTTTAAAGGCCATATACAGTTGCTTGAAGTACTCAGAGAAACTAGGACAGTGTTCCTCAAACATTCCCCATGCAAGACAAGCATAACACGGTAGTGTGACGAGAGCCAGTTCCAAAGGCTGGGCTGAGAAAAATGCTTGCATGTGTATTCAGAAGGAGGCCATGCTACAGTCTGTACAAGTTAAACTTTTAAGTGTGTTTCAGAAAGTGGCCTTTCTGTGGTCCTGAGCCCCTTTTGAGCAATATATGTGAGTTAGCCTTTCGCTGCCTGGTGCCCTTCAGACTACATTTCACATTACTCCTGACCCATGGCCATGCTGGCTGTAGCTGATGAGTGTTATAATCCACAATATCTCCAGGTGGGAAAAAGTGGATGGTGCGTATAGGGTCTATCTATGTTGATACGTTTGCATGTACGTCTGTTGATTTCGTCCTAGTTTTACAGTTCCTGTTAACAAGCTGGCCAGTGGCATGTGCAAAGCTGCTAGAAATGCTCCTTTGCAGAGTCAGTGACTGCTCACTCATTGTTTTGGCCTCAGGCAGTGTCCAGTGTTGGTCCCACACCAGCAGGACCTATTGTGAGCCCAATGGGGAGCATGCAGCGGGGAGCGTTAAGTAATCTGAAATTTGCTGGGGCAGGTCAGCAGAGCACACAAAGGAAGCGCCACTATTCTGGTAGCAAGCATTTCCACTTGTTTCAAAGCGGCTGCTGAAGTGCCTGCTTCCTACTGCACTAGCAATGGGTCCCCTGGGAACAACTCAAGCAGCGGTATTGGATACTGAAAGCTCTCCACATAACCAGCTGGCATTCCCCAGGGAAAGGCTAGTGTGAGAGAGAGACATTGCTTATATCCTGTGGTTTTTGGGTGAGTTTACTGTGGTCCAGCCAGGACTGTCTCTTTACATGTTTAACATATTCAAGAACCACATAAATGCCTAGCCCAGCTTTTTTATCTGGTTGCATTGGTGCCTTTCCTTGATCTGGTTACTGGAGAGAAACTATAACCCGAAAAAAGAATTGGAATGAACGAAAGAAGCAAAATTTGATTATAGTTTTGTCCATTCTTTGTCAATGTTCATTCCAGTCTCATTTTTAACTCTGATGTAACTAAAGTTAAGGTGAAAGCTGCCAAGCTCAGTGGCTAGTTTTCCCCCCATTAATGTTTTATTGTGAACTTCAAACAATGATTAAAACTTGAAATCTAAAAGCAATGAAAATAGTTTATATGTCATAAAGTTCAAGTATATACATTACAAGGAATACATAGGGAATGTATATGCCTGTGGATTACAGATATATAAAAATATTCTACAGTCAACAGAAACAGTTATTCATACATTTCAAGAAAGGCAAGCCAAGTATTTTTGTATATACTTGTGCATAGTTGGCATCTAAATACAAACCATTCAAGGGTTGAAAAAGTCATTAGATCTTCAGTCCATTGTATTATTGGGGAGTGAACTTTAGCTGTCATAAGACTACAGAAAATCCATTTAGATTGACTTTGCGTTAGATTCTAAGTAGAGACTAAATAAATCACATATATCCATAAATAGTAAAGATTTTGTAATACTAAATTCTTCTTCCATATTATAAGCTTTTCGCAGAAAGATGCAGCTGTGAGGCGTTGCCAAATATATGGGTGAAGGAAGCATTAGCTGTATCACACCTCCAACAGTTGGCTGATGCAATTAAGCCTTTATCAAAGAGGCATTGTGGGTAGTTTAAACTCTCTGTTTGGACTCACTTTTGTATAATGCAGCAAAGATGGTTATTAATGCTTTTATCTTACTTTGCCTTCAATGTATCAGGAAAAAATATTGCTTCTTCTCATGACTTTCTCTTGTGATTTTTATGAAGTAAAGTAACCAAGAATTCCTAACCAAGAATATTCATTTTCTTTTATGGACAGGTATTTGCAAAAAATCTCAGCTCTTCAAAGTAAATTAACTTTAAAATCTACTTTTTAGTAAATTTTACTCATTAGCTACTCATTTGCCCACTTTTTGCAGGAGTGTAAACTACCAAATGCTGAATTAAAGTTACTCTTACTTTAAATATGCATAAGGGAAGGACAGCGTTCAGGTATTGGTTAAGCTATTGGTTCCTTCTCCTGGAGAAAACACACAGTTGAAATAAAATGGGTGGGGGGAAGCATCCTAGGAAGATTAGTTTCCTTTCCAGAGAAAATAGTCACGTGGCCATTCAGCTTTGCATTTCTGCTTAGTGTCCTATCTTTCATGTCTTTCCTTATACAGATACGATCCCATTTTCAGTTCGGCGATCTCTGCCAGAGGACCACTGCTGCGTCATGCTGTCCCAGCTGGACCATAGGCAATTATATCGCTATTTTAAACAACAGATCATCCTGTCAAAAGATTGTGGAGAGAGATGTTTCTCACACGCTGAAGCTGCTCCGTACATGTGCCAAATACTACTACAATGGGACCCTGGGGCCAGATTGCTGGGATATGGCAGCCAGAAGGAAGGACCAGCTCAAGTGTACGAATGTGCCTCGTAAATGTACAAAGTACAACGCAGTTTACCAGATCCTCCACTACCTGGTGGATAAAGATTTTCTAAGCCCAAAGACCATGGACTATACCTTACCAGCTTTAAAGTACAGCATGCTCTTTTCACCTACTGAAAAGGGGGAGAGCATGATGAATATTTACTTGGATAACTTTGAGAACTGGAACTCTTCTGATGGAATAACCACCATCACAGGGATTGAGTTTGGAATAAAGCATAGCTTGTTCCAAGATTATCTTCTAATGGATACCGTGTATCCTGCTATAGCCATTGTGATTGTCCTTTTAGTCATGTGCATCTATACCAAGTCCATGTTTATCACACTGATGACCATGTTTGCAATAATTAGTTCCCTGATTGTTTCTTACTTCCTTTATCGGGTAGTATTTAATTTTGATTTTTTCCCCTTTATGAACCTTACTGCACTGATTATTCTTGTCGGCATTGGAGCAGATGATGCTTTTGTCCTGTGTGACGTGTGGAACTACACCAAATGTGATAAGTCCCACGCTGCAACCTCCGAGACAGTGAGCATCACCTTGCAACATGCCGCCCTTTCCATGTTTGTCACCAGTTTTACCACCGCTGCTGCCTTCTATGCCAATTATGTCAGCAATATTACCGCGATCCGATGTTTTGGTGTGTATGCTGGCACCGCCATATTGGTGAATTATGTCCTAATGGTAACGTGGTTACCTGCAGTTGTCGTGCTACACGAACGGTATTTGCTCAATCTATTTAGTTGCTTCAGAAAGCCTCAGGCAAGGGTGTACAGTAACAAAAGCTGCTGGATGGTGCTGTGCCAAATGTTCCGTAAGGTTGTTTTTGCAGGTTCAGAAGCATCAAGGATCTTCTTTGAAAAAGTGTTGCCATGCATTGTTATCAAGTTTCGCTATATCTGGCTGATCTGGTTCCTAGCCTTAACTGTCGGGGGTGCTTACATAGTGTGTGTGAATCCAAAGATGAAGCTGCCATCGCTAGAGCTTTCGGAATTTCAAGTGTTCAGGTCTTCTCATCCTTTTGAACGCTACGATGCAGAATTCAAAAAGCTCTTCATGTTCGAGCGTGTGCATCATGGGGAGGAGCTTCATATGCCCATCACTATTGTCTGGGGGGTGTCTCCTGAGGATAGTGGGGACCCCCTAAATCCCAAGAGTAAGGGAAAGCTGAAATTAGACAGCACATTCAATATTGCAAGCCCCGAGTCGCAGCTCTGGATTTTGAAATTTTGCCAGAAGCTGAGGAATCAGACCTTTTATTATCGAACAGAAGAGCAAGATTTCACAAGCTGCTTTATTGAAACATTCAAGCAGTGGATGGAAAATCAGGACTGTGATGAGCCTGCTCTTTATCCCTGCTGCAGCCACTGGAGCTTTCCCTACAAACAGGAGGTTTTTGAATTATGTATCAAGAGAGCCATCATGGAGCTTGATAGGAGCACAGGGTACCATTTAGACAGCAAAACACCTGGCCCCCGATTTGACATAAATGATACCATCAGAGCTGTGGTACTGGAGTTCCAAAGCACCTACCTCTTCACCTTGGCCTATGAAAAAATGCATCAGTTTTATAGAGAGGTGGATACCTGGATTTCAGATGAACTGAGCACCGCTCCTGAGGGCCTCAGCAGTGGTTGGTTTGTGAGTAATCTAGAATTCTATGATCTGCAGGACAGTCTCTCTGATGGTACTTTGATTGCCATGGGCCTTTCCGTTGCTGTTGCTTTCAGCATAATGCTGCTTACAACTTGGAATATTATAATAAGCCTTTATGCAATAGTCTCAATAGCAGGAACCATTTTTGTTACTGTTGGATCTTTGGTTCTTCTGGGCTGGGAGCTGAACGTGTTGGAGTCTGTCACCATTTCTGTCGCTGTTGGCTTATCGGTAGACTTTGCTGTCCATTACGGAGTCGCCTACCGCTTGGCTCCTGATCCTGATCGAGAAGGAAAAGTCATCTTCTCCCTCAGCCGCATGGGTTCAGCTATTGCAATGGCTGCCCTGACCACATTTGTAGCTGGTGCAATGATGATGCCTTCTACAGTTTTAGCATATACTCAGCTCGGCACCTTCATGATGCTCATAATGTGCATTAGCTGGGCTTTTGCAACTTTCTTTTTCCAGTGCATGTGCCGTTGCCTTGGGCCCCAAGGTACCTTTGGTCAGATCCCTCTACCAAAACAACTGCAATGTAGCGCCTTTTCACAGGCATTGTCACCAAAGCAAGGAGACGGGGAACAAACCAAAACTCATGCTGCCAGTAAATATCAGTTGGACTTCAGAGGAAAACACTCAGACATGGAGCATGAGCATGAACATTATGAGCTAGAGCCTTTAGCAAGCCAGGCCAACAACTGCATGGTGACAGAGAGGCGAACATATGAAGAAACACACGTCTGCTCTGAGCTCTTCAATGGTAGACTTGCCAGTGGACGTTCTCTTCTCCAGCCAGCCTGTAAGAATGAACTGAACCTAAATGGTAAAAGTGAATCTGGCTCAGCTGGGACATCTTCTGGTGAGCAAGTTACTGCTTGTCACCTGCTGTGTCAAAACCAACAGTGCTCTTGTTCAGATGCATACAAACCTGTGGCCATGAAATGGAGCCCCTTCCCGTGTCAGCAACTGAATGACACTTTATACTGTCATTGCTCTCCATCTTCTGGAAATGTGCACATCCAGAATTCTGTAGTTCCCATTAATGCCTTGCATCATTCTTCAGATGGTTATGCTAACACAGTCCAGCATGTTTTCCAATGCAGTTGTCTTCAAGGAAGATTGAAAAGACCCCCCGTTCAGAATTCACTCCCCAGAAACATATTTCTCCACTCAGTGCCCCATTTTCAGTCCCACAGCCTTCCCAATACTGAGGAGAACTTGAGAACTCTTCCAAAGGAAGCAAATTCTTCTCCATTCATCTGCCAAAGTGCTGGTTTGCTCCCAAGGTCTTGTTGTGAAATGGACAGAAGCAGGTGTAATAATCAGAAGGGACTCTGTAATAACTACAGAGACAAATGGGACGCTAGGATCACTGAAGTCAATGGAAATGAAAGCATGATTTCTGCATCAAAGCAAAACAAGCAAGCCGAAATGGAGGGAGTCCAGGATCTACTGCAAACTGCTCCGGGTACAAAGGCTATCCAGAATGAGTGGAAATGTATGGAAAACAATACAGCAATTGAGCCTGGTTATGAGCCTTGCCCTGAAAATCCACAATATTGTCACCAAACCATAACAACCAAGTGCAATTCTGTTGAGTGTCATATGCCAAACTCTGAAGTCCATGTGCCTGTTCTGTTAGCACACCCAGAACTTTCTAACGAAAGTTTGCTAATAAAAACATAATAAATCTTAAGCTTGGTGTTTCTGTTGTTCTTGGAAAGAGAGCTCAAAATATTTAAAGCTGCTCAAATGGCCAAACAAAGTTTACTAAAGTTAATATTTGAAATTTTAAAACTTCCTTAAAAGAAAAATGAATGTATTGAAATTCTGTTAACTCCCTTAATGTTGTTCATATATTCCACTCAGGAATGCCAAATTGTGCTTAAATCAGTTGTTGTGGTATGGATGCCAAAAGCATTTAGGCGATTATTTTCCCACTGAGCTGAAAAATGGAGCATTTCTAATAGCTTTTCCCTGGGACATCTGGCAAGAGAAACTTAATCTTTGAGATTATGATTATGTTGACTCATTCTACTGTTACAGTATTGCTTTTCCCATGAAGTGATTGGTGGGAGATTCGGGACATATAAAGGAAATACTATTTCACACAATGCATAGTAGAACTATGTAATTCACTTCCACAAGATGCAGTGATGGTCACCCATCTGGTGGTTTTCAAAGGGAATTGGACAAAATCATGGATATAAGGTATTGTTGGGTACTAGTTCTAGAGACTATGAGTTACCCCTGGTATGAGAGGCAGGGTGCCTCTTAATACATCGGTTACAGTTGTGCATATGTCATAAGAACATGAGGAAAGCCATGCTGGATCAGGCCACTGGTCTCCAGTCCAGCACAATGTTGGAATTTGTCCCTTTAAAGCAAGGGTCTCAAACTCAACTTGCCTGGGGGCTGCTGGAAGTAGAGTCTGGGTGAGGCTGGGCCGCATCAAGTATTCCACCACCGCGGTGGTGGTGGGCCGCTCATCCGGAGGCCGGCCCGGGCACTGCCAGTGCTTTGAAGGCCGCAGGGTCCCTCCCCTGTGCCCTGCCCATCCCGGCAATTGGCCCGCGGGCCGCGAGTTTGAGACCCCTGCTTTAAAGCCATCCAAATTGCTCGCCATTACTACTTCCTGCTCCTTGGGAGGAAAACTTCGGCAAATCTAGACAGCATACTAAAAAGCACAGACACCACCCTGCAAAAGTGCGCATAGTTAAGGCTATGGTTTTCCCAGTTGTAATGTATGGCTGTGAGAATTGGACCATAAGGAAGGCTGAGCGCTGAAGAATTGATGCTTTTGAACTGTGGTGTTGGAACTGAGAATCCCTTGGACTGCAAAGAAATTAGATCAGACAATCTTAAAGGAAATCAACCCTGACTGCTCTTTAGAAGGTCAGGCACTTAAGCTGAAGCTCAGTTACTTTGACCACCTAATGAGAAGGAAGGACTCATTGGAAAAGACCCTGATGCTGGGAATGACTGAAGACAAAAGGAGAAGGGTATGGCAGAGGTTGAGGTGGCTGGAGAGGTCGGTGTGGGGTCGGGTGTACTCTGGGGGATGGTGGAGGACAGGAGAACCTGGAGAAATGTCATGGGGTCGCAAAGAGTCGGGCACGACTTTGTGACTGAACAACTACTTCCTGTGGCAATGAACTCATAGTTTATGGGCTGTAGGAAGAAGTCCTTCCTGAATCTCCTACCAATCAGCTTCAGGTGACCCTAGGTGCTGGTATTAAGGAAAGAGAAAAAGTCTCTCCACTTTTTCCACACTTTTAAACACCTCTATCATACCTCCCCTTACCTTTTTTTCTGGGGCAAAAAATTCTAGAAGTTGTAACTTCTCACACAGTTCTTACTTGATCATTCTGTGCACTTTTCCCAACTCAAAAGCGTCCCTTTTTAGGCAACCAAAGTATATAATACATAAGTACAACTTTGTTCAGGCAATCAAAGTACAGTCACACCAAAGATTTGTATAAGGGGAGTACAATCTTGGAAGTTCTATTTTTCATTCCTTTCCTAATTATCTCTAAGATGCAATTTGCCCTTTTCACAACAGCTGCACATTGGGTTGACATTTTCATCTAGTTGTCCACCACAATCCCAAGATCTCTTTCTCTTTGGTCAGTCACTGCTGCTGGCAATCCAGAAGGTTTAGTGAGACACCAGTTGTCACTCAAAGAACTCTAATAGGTTAGTGAGACTATTCTTTTTCAGCAGGGCTTGTCCCTGTGCATGCTTATTGATCCTGTCTTTATTCTTTCAACCAGTTCACCCAGAACATGCTTTAAGCAAACTGGTCTGTAAGTCCCCAGGTCCCACTAGATCTCTTTTTAAAAGTGGAGGTTGCATTACTTTCTCCAGTCTTCTGGTAGAGACTGATCTTAGCAACATAAATATTTTGTTAAGAAGGTCAGCAATTTCATATTATTTAAGAATTCTAGGATGGATACCATCTGGGTCTAGTGATTTAGTAATTTTCAGTTTGTTGATAAGGTTGAGAATTTCATCTTTGTCACTCCTGCCTTAATTCTAATTCATTCAGCTTTTCTGCAATCTCCATATCCACCTTTAGTGCTCCTTTAATTCCATTAACCAGTGGTCCAACTGTCCCTCTAGCTCCTTTAATTTAAATAATTCTTCATTGTTGACTTTGATGTTAGCAATATGCTTCTCAAAATGTTTCTTTGCTTCTCCTGTTGCCTGTTTGCATCTGCTTTGCACAACCTATGCTCCCTTTTGATTTCCTGATTTGGGCAAGATTTCAATTTCTTGAAGGAAACTTTCTTCTCATTTATACCTTCCTTGACTCTATTTGTGAATCATCCTGCTGACTCCTTGGACTAATTTCTACCGTTCCTAACTTACGGTATGCATACTGTCTGCTCCTCTATTATTGTGGTTTGAGCAATCTCCAAACATTTTAAAGAGATTTAACTCTCCTGACTCCCCTCTTCAACTTCTTTTTTACCAGTTCCTTCATTTTAGAGAGATTTCCTCTTTTGAAGTCAAGCATGACTGTGTTGGCTCTCTTTAGCAACCTTGCATCTAACTGTAGATTATATCTGATAGAGCTGTGGTCACTGTTTCCAACTGGTTGAACAACATTTACACCCCACATAATGTACTGGGCACCCCACCTAGGATTAAATTCAAGACTGCCTCCCCTCTGCTTGGTTCCATGTTCTAGGACATCTAGAAATTTAACCTCTCAGAACTGGAACATAAATTTTTCCAATCAATGTGTTGGGTGGTTGAAATCACCCATCATTGCAGCATTGCCTTTTTGGAGGCCTCCCCGATTTTATTCTTCATCTCAGGATTACCCTGAGCACCCTGGAGGGCAACAGCATATTCCTGTGATTAAATTCATTTTGGAGCCAGGTATGTTCCAAAATGCTTCTGTGGCAGTCTGCACATTTTAGGTTATCAAGTCTGCTGACTCAATACCTTCTTTAAGGTACAGAACAACATCTCCAGTACTCCCTTCTCTGCCCTTCCAATACAGTTTATATCCAAAGATGACTGTATCCCAATGGTTTATTTTTTATTTCAATGTATATGCCACAGCATTAGCCCACACTTTGGCTGTCCTCATTCTACCCGGTTTCCACAATGCCTACTATATATACCTTCTTTAAAACCAGACCCTCTTGCTCTCCCATTTTGGCTCTCAGGCTTCTAGCATTCACATGGAAATACCGAAACACACCCTCCCTCTTCACACCTGTGTGACATACATTTTTGGCACACAGGCCTTTCTAACTGGTTATTGTGTCTCACTGTAAGCTTGTGGTTTATTTCTTCCTGTACTATGTCAGGACAGATTACACATTAAATATAACAAAATATAAGAGATGCAAACACAAAATGAAACAATACAGCACGCAATATAAAACTGATTATGACAAAATCTGGGAGAACCAAATATACTTGTCTGAAGCCATATCTTAGGAAAGTCTTGGCAAGTTTTACGATCTTTGCCTGGAGCCAAATGATGGTCAGACTTGAAGGTGTTCTATATGCAGGATTCCACATCCAGGAAAGCCCTCTTTCTAGTCACTACCCATTCAATCCAGAGGGCGGAGGAACTAGAATGTGGATCTCTGGAAATGAAGGTAAGGTTTAGATGGATCATGTGATAAAAGAACATCTGATAACCAGGTCCAATGCTATTTAGAGTGCAATTGGGCAGCTTGGAAGATGTTGGCCTTTTTCTGCCTCAGCACAGGATTGTGCCTTCAGGGCTTTACTCTCCATTGTGCCTGAAACAGACACAGTAGTGTTGAGAAGCATCACTCAGAAGTAGCATTCACATTATAGCGGTGCGTCTCCTGCATTGCAGCAAGTCATAAAGGCATTGCTGCAGACAGAGGCCTACCATTTGTTTGGGGTCTCCATTGCCCTAGAAGGAAACATGTTTTGATTTCTTTTTACCTGTCCTGCTGGCTATCATTAATTTAACCATGACCCCCCCCCAAAAAAAAAACCTTATGTTGGAGATCTCAATCTTGCATTATGGGTCGAATTCTGAAAGGAAGGAAATCCAAAATGCACCCTAAAATTATTTTGGTTTACTGTATGTTGTCCTGAAGTCTAAGGTAGATGGAGAGTGCGCAAACATTTTTGTGCATAAATAAATATATAATCACTAGAATGTAACGATTAAAAAGAAACATCAAAGTGAAATATCCAATCAAGCTTATCAACATGCTTAAACCTCTTTTCTGGAACCATTGAAACACTTCCAAAAGCTTCGATGCCACATCTAATAAACATTCAGCATTTGCCACCAGCCAAAGGGTCAGAATCAGGGATCATTGAGCGTCCCTGGCCTAAAAAGAAAGGGCACCGCACTTTGAATTTATCCTAGACAAATCAGCAAATCGGAAGCTCTTCCGGAATAGCTGTTCCCTCTGCAGCAAACACCAGAAGCTAATCTGGTTGCTGCTTTCCAAACTCCGCACCGATTTCAGAACAAGGGCAGCCCTACCTGGAGCAGCCGTTGCAGTTTAGCCAGGAAGTCGCCTGGATGCACATCACCGTTCAAGAGCTGGTCAAAGTGCACTAAAAAAGTGGGTGGGGGAGAGAAATGGGGGGCTAAAAGCTGCTGGGCAATTGTGAGGGTGGGGGAGAAATAGCACAGCGAAGAGGTAGTTCCTGTTGACTAGCAACTGTAGTCATGGAACTGTC